GCACACATTCTCAAGTGCACCATCAGAGCACTGGCACTTTGCATTCCCATCCTGAGTTTTGATACCTACCATGCTGGTACATCTGATTCCTTTCCAGAGGAAAGTGCTCTGCTGCGTTCCTGGTTTATATGTTGGAGCACTGAGATCAGGACTCACCTTTAATGCAAGGACTAAGAAATCAGGTGATGGAGCCATATTCACAGTCATATGTACAAAAAAGGAAGCAAACAGGCAAATTCCAGACTGGGTAAACTCTTCAAGACAACAGGCAGTGGTGCATTCCCACACTCAGATTCAGCTTCTCCAAAATCAGTTGGTGCTAATTTCCAATGGACTTTCAAATCAAACCTCAAATGCCTTTTCTTGTCTTTTTTTTTTTTTTTATTTTTTATTTTTGCTTTTGCAAACAGGACCATTGCTGGGTACGGCAGGATGCAAAGACCTGGCAAGGGGTACCCTTTCTGTGTCCAATGGAGAGAGGCTGGAAAGCTGCTAAAAAAGGGAAAGAACAAGCCAATGCCCTGTTGTTGTGAAGGAGTCAAGTAGCAGAGAGACAAAACAGAACTTGCAGCACCTTGACTTCTGGGATTGAATGCAATGTCAGCTCAGGTGAGCCCAAAATCACCCAACTAACCCCCTCCCTCAGGCTGCAGAGGAAGGGCACCACTGGTACCTTGGATCTCCATGGGAACCATATCAGAGAAAGGGGAAATAAAAGAGGAGAACAGAGAACAGACCAGAGTAAGGGAACAGAGCAGCAGGGAATGGGGAGAGGGTGGTGATGGGGTGAGGGGCCTGTGGAAACCATCCATGCACCAAGGTGTCCTGTGGTGAGCAATAACAGGCTCACTGTAAAGCCTGCTGCACTGGGGAGGAAAACTGAGCAATGTATGGAGCCTGTGATGGGGAATGGTGTTTCCTACAGCAGATCAACCCAGCAGCAATATTGGCAGAGGGAGCTTGTGAGGAAAAGCAAAAGCAGGCAAGAAGAGCTTGCTTTTCCCACAGGTTTTGTGGGGAGAAGGTGGTGAGCAAAGCAGGGAGACAAAGGATGTTTCTCTACACCCATCCTCCTCTTCCCCTCCAGCCCCCAGAGGAACCTGCATTAGGAAAACACCCTCAGCAGTGTCACCTCTTTTTCTCCAGCCATGGCCTGGGGATCTCTAGGCAGTGATGGCTGTCACCCAGGCTGGGGTGAGCAACCTGGGGTGCCCGTGTTTCCTTCTACAGTGCCAAGGAGCTCATCCCCTTGTTGGACAGCAAAGCAGCTGACACAGGGCAGAAGGATGGGAGCTCATGGTGGTCCAGGAAAGGGCCAGCAGCATGCTGGCCATGCAACACTCCACAGGCATCAACTCCACACCTTGCAAGCGCCTTTTTGCTGTTCCATGACAGCACCACATTCTTGCTGCCCAAATTCAATGGGAGATCACCCCCACATTGACAAAGGGACGAGCTTGTGTTCTTCATCAAGGGTGGGCCCCATCTTCCAGAACACCTCCTTGCCTGCCTGACAATGGGAGCAACACAGAGACTTAGTCTTGGTCTCTGCCTCTGCCCATCTCTGAGTTATCTTCCCCCCCCCATTCCTGGCTGCTCCATTTAACTCAAGGAATGAAACTCAAGGCAGTCAGTCAGGGAAGTGGTGTTACTGCCATTCCCTGCCCTGATGCCTTTGGAGGAGGCAGATTTTTAGAAATAGTGCAGATCTTCCTGAGTGGGTGGTCCCCTCCTGGAAGCTCAGCTCTCTGCCTCACAGGCTTTGCTGCAGCTCACACACTGCCAGTGCTGCTTAGCTCATCTTCACATCAACTCCTCTGACATGGCCCCAGACCACTTGGGGATGCCATTAGTTTCTTTATGAGGAGATGGTGGGAGAAGGATGACAGCTGCAGGCCCCTTTCTTACCTGCACACCGACAATGCCACACTCAAAGGTGTATTTTCTCACCTGTGGTTGGGGTTTCACCATCACACCTGATCATAAAGAAGTGGGAGCACCAACTGGGGCTCCCCTGCAAGGGGTATTTGCACAAAACCACACAAAGCAATTGCAAAGCTTCCTCATCCCAGCCCAAACAGCTGCATCTCCACAGATACTCCCTCCTTATCTGACTGTGGCTCCATAGAGTGTTGCTACAAATCTGGAAAACTGGTTGAGGCTTCAGCCATTTTTCTCAGACATCAGGCATTTTTCAACCAGCAGACTCCTGACAGCCTGGCATTTTTTAAATGTACAGTCTGTAGTGATTTTGACAGGAAAATTCCCATCCATCCCCTCCTACTTCCACGCAGCCCAATGTGCTGTGTCATCCTGGCGTCACATTGTCCTGATTCTGGCATCTTAAAGCAAGACCACTGAGGGATTTAGCACATGAGGCACAGCCAATGCCATGCAGCACCTGCAGCTCATTGTCTCCTTTGCAAAAGGCAGAGAAGGAAGTCACTGTCTGGTCATTTTGGCTGCTCTCTGCCATGGGCTGCTCAGCAATGCAGCCTGCTTCAGCTGACAGACTTGTAGAAAGAATCAGAAAAGTCAAAATTACCTTCTGCTCCACAGCAGGTCTACCAGTGATTTGTTTTTCTCTAAGCCAGGCAGCTGCAGGATACACTGTTCTCTGCAGTTTTAACTGTCACTCTCTCCTGATTTTATTTTCAAATCCACAGTTCAAATGCATTCTCCATTTATAGGAAGGGCAAATGGCACTGACGTGGTCTTTTCTCCCTTGTGCACCTATCTTCCCCATGATACTTAGAAATGTGCCCTAGTCCTCCTTTCTTCCCAAGAAGCTCTGTGTTTTGCAAAAAGGAGAAGCTGTAGTCAAAAATGGTTGCTGCTACAGGAAAAAAGGCAGTGGGAATAAATGGCTTTCTCCCACATCTAGCAGAGGTGGGGAGGCTGAACAGTAAGTTAGGACAGAGTGAGACCAGCCCGAGCAAGCAAACATTCCCTGAGGAAATGGGGCACTTTGTGCCCTTGGATAAAAGAGATCTCTTGTACCTTCACCTGGTGCTGCCTGTGCCACACAGCTTCTCTCTGAAGCTTTTCCTTGTCTCTCCAAACACAAGCCTGAATGCACTACAGAAAACAGAGCTGCAGGCAGCCCTGTGCTGCAGCAGCCATGGCCCATCACCTGTGCAGCAGGGAAGTGGCAGCAGGGCCACTGCAGCCAGCAGCAGATGAAAAAGGATTTTCTTTCCTGGGCATGTAAGCACTTGGTGCCTTACACTCTGTATTTTTCCATTTGGGAAAACCAGGTTTGGGACAGACACTACAAAAGCAATCTGAAATCAAATTTAACAGAGTTTTACGCACTGCAGCAGAGGAGAGTTTCAAAGGGTGTTTAGGGGAGAGTGCCTGTAGCCAGCCATTTGGAGGGTATATTAAAAAAAAAAAAGACAATACAAAACACCAAATCCCCTTCTCTTTCTGCAGGCACAGCCTTAAGCAAATGCACACAAAGCCACAGAGGAGAGGAAAACGTTTCTGTCCCCAGCTAAAACAAATATGCCCAGGGCAATATGCACAGATGAAAGAGGGATGAATCAGAAAGGTGTAGCTGGACCCAAAACAAAGTTCTCAAGGATATAAATTGGTGAGCATCTGGGTACCAGGTCCTGAAAAACCAAACACTGCAAACAAAATGGACAATCAAGACCAGGGACATCTGACATTTCCCTCATCTCGACAGGACATTAAATAGGAGTTCAAATTTCAGGGAATGGCATTTAACCTGGATACCCTGTTGCCTGGGTGAATACTTTGACCACTGTTGAGATCGTCTTCCCCCTCCTCTACTGTTCCCTTCCTGCCTCCACCACCAAAACTACCTGACAAATCCAGGATAAACTTTTTACCAAGAAACATGGTAAATAAACTGTCTAGCTATAAACTCTTCTAGTCCTACTTGTTCCTGTTTTCTTCTTAAGGGTGGAAAACAGTGAGCTGTATCATTTCACAGCAATGACATCAACTGATAAAATAATCCTGACATTTGCTTGCTGCAGATTAGAGAAAGCCCCAGCAATTACAGAAAACTGCAAGTTTTGGTTGTCTCAATGGCCATCTTTAGCCCCTATCACTACATTACACCAATGTTTAACATTGGCTATCAAATTTCCCATCCTCAGTAACTAGCAAAAAAAATGGCATCCAAAGATGGCATCATGAATAGTCAAGGACAGAAATCTACCATGTCTAACACTGCTGAAATAAAGAGGTAGCTTTTTGTAGCAGGAAGAATTTCTTGGATACTGTTTCAGTTCCCAGCATCTGCTGGGGCTGTTGACATAGAGGGCAAAATTTGATTCAGTGAGGATACCAAGCCATTTGGCAGAGGAGACATCAAACAGAACATTATGTAGTTTTCAAAGGAATTATTTTTGGCCAGTTGGACTTGAACTGGGAAAAATAGCACTAGAAAGCAAATGAAGAATTGGTTTGCTTATATACTGCTTACTTTCAGCTTTCCAGCCAATCTAGCACATGAATTTCCTGAGTTTACTTTCACTCAACACATGAAAGCACTTTGTGAACACTGACAAAAAGTGGCAACCCATTTCTGTTCCCCAAAGCTAAACAGCTGCAACTGGGAAGTTAGTGAAAATTTCATCTACAGGGAAGGTGGTCTAGTCAAACTCAAGAGTAGAAATGAGAGAATAGTTTCCAATGATGACACAACCCCTAATTGTATAGATCATAATTTCAACTCTGCTCTAATAAAGCATGTCCACACAAAAAGCTATTTGCATAAACTACTCTTAGCCAGGCCATGTCCTGCACCCACTACACTACACAATGAAGCTCAACACCAACCTCAGTGAGCCAAAGGTGTGGTTCTCATTTGTGTGGGAGTAGAACCAAACTCAGTCAAAAGCCTGGCACAGCAAAAAAGAAGCACTCCCCAGCTAAAGAGTTAAGCTTAGTTTAAGTCCCAGGTCTGCAGATAATTCTTCTCCCTCATGCTCTGACTGCCTGCTCCTGAACACAAGACAAACAACTTCGAAAAGAAGCTCCAGCAAGACTTTATTCAATGGTATACAATAGGAAGAAATTAGCATGAAAGAAGAATTGTATACATTACTGACTTTCCAAGTCACTAAAACAAACCCATGGTGACAAGAACAACTGAGTTTGATGACATAACAAGCGTGGGACCATCTCTCTAGTGTCCATACCTGCAAATAGATAATATGTTAATGCTCTTTTAAAAATTACAATTCATAGGAGTGCTGGTCTGGGTGGATTCATTTTCATTCTACCACAGCACAATTAACATATAAATGGGTGAAATACTGTTAAGGAAATCTTAGAAGTCCTCCACATTTCACTTCCCCTAAAAATCTACCCAGTTAGAAGAGAGCCCATGTGGAGAGATCTTGGTATCAGTTATCTTTTGCCCTGAATCCCACTTCAAATATATCTGGCATAAAGCAAGACCAAAATTTGTCACAGCCCCAGACTGAGCACAAATCAGAAAATATTGATTCATGTCTCTGTTTCTCATCATGCTGCCCATGCAATTTGAAGTGATGAGCCAGACAACATGGACTCAGTTTTCATTGTGTGTTCAGGAAAACATCTTAATATCAAAACTATGGTACTTCAGTTGTCACATCAATGATGATTTGCACAACTGTCTACCAGAGCCCAGACACAATCCTCAACAGCTATAATACCTGTTCTGTTTTTTTTCAGTCTGCACTCTGACAAGAATTTTTTTTTTAATTGAGTGGGGAGAAGGACAATCTACAGTTAAGATTACTAGATCAATGGTGCAGAATGAAGGAAGCAATAGGCAAACTTCCTAACTATTCTCAATGGACAATTACCTCTCAAAATATGACTATCCCTCAAAAAGCCATTCTTGGATCTCCTACTACTATTCTTGACAGGAAACCTTTAAAAAACATTATAAAACAAACAATAGAGCAATTATAAATAAATGGGCCAAAGCTGCAGGAATGGCTACATGGACACTTGATTTCCAGATGCTAGGAAATCAGCTGTATTAATCTCTGAGGCTATCAGAGTTATAAAAAAAAATCATCAAGATAACAGAGGGACCCAATAAGATCCCTGGCACCTCAGCAGTAATACTTTGGAACCCAAGCAGCTGAATTCAGGTCATCCTCCAAACCCAAATTGCTCTTGCAGCAGCACACTATTCACCTGAGACTCTACTTGTAGCTAATTCCATTTCTCTCCTGCTCTCCATTCTTTAGAGAGAATGTCAGTAGAAATCACTACTTTTTAACAGCTCCTACACAGCCCATAGCTGCTTGGACTCCCTTCAGAGCTCACTTAGAACCAGGTGACTAAGGAAAGAACCTCTCTGAACAGCAACCATGCCCTCAGACACATCAATCTGATACTGATCATTTATATTTACAGGACAAGTGGACTTTTCACCTTGCGCTCTGTGCAGGATACGTACTTTTGGAACTCCCATTCCCTGTTGTCCAGCGGACATACTTGGCGAGTTTTGAGCCAGCGAGAGATGCAGTGGAAGTGGAAAGCATGCTGGAAGACAAAGTGCAGATCACATCATTTCAGAGTGTATGAATGCACCTCAATGCAAAAACTACCACTGAAAGCATCACAGGAAGAAGAGAGTTTGCAGGCAAAGGAGGGGACAACTGATCAGTCAATCAGCTGATAAACACCAAGGAATTGATCCACATTTTCAGAGAGGAGGAAACATCAGTGAAACAGCAGCAGGGAGCCTGTTCCACAGTGCATACAGTGGCAACTGACTGACTTCTAATGAAGGAGAGAGTGCAGAGTTTTAGCAGCTGCCAAAATTGGCAGAGCAGATGCTGATAAGAAGCATAATCAGAAAAAAAGGAGAAGATTTCAGAGTGAGTAGCAGGGATGATATGAATGTATACATGCTGAAGGAAGCTTTCTGTCAGTTTGCAGGAGATAACAGAGCCTGAATAAAAAGGAATTTGCAAAATTAGAAAAAAAAAACCCTCATTTATGTATTTGATAAGGGCAACTGTTCTCTTACCCCATACAGCTACTTAAAACCAACATTCCACTTGTGGTCACTCTCACACACAACAACATAATTTTGACATTAGAATATCCTGACATGGTTTAAAATTTTGCCCCTGTCCTCTGCAGACAGAATTGCAACATTTATGGTCCTGTTCCAGCATTATCATGTTGTAACTCAATCCCATAGCACAGTAAAGATAGGATTGAGGATCAGGAAGTTATTCCACTATGGAATAGTTTATTTTCCAACTCAGGCCCAGGCTAGCTAGGAGGTATTCAAGTTTGGAGTTAACATGCTAGTAGGACCAATTGATTTGATCTTCCCCCAAAACTGGAAGGAAATTCTGGTTACCCCAGACTGACTCTTTGAACTAGCCTGCACACAGACAAATAAAACAGACTGACATCCAAGTTATCCTATTAGTGGGGCAAAGGAAAAGGTGCAACTCCTAGGCAAACCACGATCAGGAAAATCATGCTCAGAATGAAAGATCTATTATTCCTAAAAAAAAAAAAAAAAAAAAATCTGTTAAGGCTTATCTTCCTCCCTTTGCTTCTTTGTCTTATTGCATCTCTCCATCTTTCACTTTTTTCTCTCTCTCCTTTCTACATTCTAGCAAACATAAGGACTTTAAAATTCTTATTTCTGGTGGATTATGTGAAACATGCTACAGAATGGATTCTGTCCCACATCATCATAAAAGGAGGATAGCATCACCCCACACAAGCTCCACAACAGAAGTTTTCCTTACATTGCAGACACCCCATGCAACTGTGCACTCCTCAGAGGTAGCCGATGCTTGGTTGGCTTGACATTCTATGCCTGTGGAAATAAAGATGGAACAAATACACACAGCAGTTGAAGATGTACATGCACATGTACTAACTGGTAGATTCCTTCATAACAGCAAAGGTAGGCAGGGGAGGAGGAGCTCTTTTGTGGTGTTTAACACACCAGAAAGTATCAAGAGCTATGGTTTAATGTGTTTTTCCCAAAGTATCATATCAAAACATTCTTAATCCTGATTTCCTCCTTCCTCTACTTTTTTAGTATTCCAAAGTTCCAGAGGGCAAGAATATATAACTCATCTGTTGGCAACATGTGTTTGTTTTCCAAATTTCAAGGATAAAGATTTTAATTTTTTCCTCTTGTGTTCACAGAGATGTCTTTTGATGATGAGTTGACAGTAAGTTTACTTAAACTTCTTACCCAGGTTTCTCTCAATACAACTTCTTATATGTTCCTGTCAGCCACTATGTACTTTATTTGCAAATTAATTTGCTCATGTAATGCTGGAGCTTGCCTGTCTTTATTGTATAGTCTTGTGAAAGGTAAATACATCCCAAAAATCCACAACAGGAAATACAATATGGTTTAGATAGGAAATACAGTATGGTTTGGACATTTTATACCTTGGGGCTGAGTACCCAGGAGGATCCTCAACCCTGATTTTTTATGAGTTTGGGTTATGTTTTGGGCTTTTGTGTCAGATAGTGTAGATGAAGGAGCTGAAAAAGAGTGAGGTAAGAAGAACAACACTGAGAAAATAAATCCTACAAGCCAGTTCTCCATTCTAAGGCCTGAACAAATCACTTCTGCTCCAGTTCAGGAATAAACTTCAGAAGAAAAAAAGATTTTTCCAACTCCTTCACCATCAGCAGCACAAACCTATAAGACTAACATTTTACTTCTTGTTAAAGGATGCCTTTTTTAGGAGTCAAGCCCAAATGATTTAAAAAGATTTGCTGATATATGATCAGCTTAGAACTCAATACACAGGCTTGCTGCTTTCTTGTTTTGCAGATATTTTTTTTTCTCCTGGCAAAGAAGATGTCTGAATGAGCTCCAGTTCTCTGTTCACTCTTTGTGTGCTTGAATATACTTAGAGGAAAAGGAATTTGATTCACTAATTAAAGATTAAAAAACTTCCAAACCCCACAGGTTTGGCTGAAAAATGTGATCTCTACTTGTTCTGTCCCATTCTTCCCTTTCTCCATTTTCACGCTTTTCAGGTGTGGAGGTGCACAAAATAAAAAAAAAAAATCCCATTTTTTCTGAGATGCAAGAGATGTCAATTGACCTTGGTCATGAGGAACTACTCAAAACAAGAGTGATGTCTAAAGAAACTCAGTAGCAACAGCTGTTCTGCAAGATTTGAGTGAACCTGTATTTATCATATGGTTTACATCAAAGACATGATATACCACAGCAGGAAGTCCAAAGCTCAATCCTTTGCCTTGCTATAGAAGAAAACAAAACCCAGCACTTCAGTGTTAATTCCAAAATCTTTCAATACATACAGCAATAAAACTAAATCTGATTGAGAATAAGGAAGATGCTCAAGACCCTCGAAGAACTTCAATTACTTTGGATGCTTGTATAAAATTCTACACCTGAGATCTTTGCAACAATTTCACTGTTACTGCAGTATGGACTCATGGTCATGGGGCAGAGTATGTTAACTTTTAAATATCTGGTCAGTGTAACAGTAACAGATCATGATGAGAAGATGAGTTGTAGGAAAAGATGAGGAAATTAATCTGAAGGAAAAAAGTCAAAGAGCAAGCAAAGTTTAAATCAGAAAGCCTATGCTGAAAGCAAGTAAAACAGTCCAGCACACAATATGCTTATCTTGTTTCTTCTCTTTCCCTGCTAGAAACAAAATATTGGGCATATTAGACATAAAGTCCATCTAGCCCATTTTTTATGTCTTGTTTTTTGGTTTTTTTTTTGTTTGTTTGTTTGGTTTTTTTTTTTGTCTCTCTAAGAGGCCCTAACATTAGAGCTGCATGAACACAATTTTTAATTTTCAGGATTTAAAGGACTCTGTATTTTGCCTGGGAGTAAGAAGGAAGAAAGATGATTTAGGTAAGGAAAACAAGCACCACTGCCATTCATTTCAGTGTTACTGAAACTTTCACTGACAAACTTAAACTTTCACTGACAGTCTAAAGCATGACAGTCCCAAAAGTTTAAGAGGACTTTTGTGGAAGTGCCTGAGGAGGAGTTCTCTGATGGTGATGGAAAACCCTTCCAACAAGACACCCAGGTTTAGCTCCCTCATCAAACTCACTGGAGACTACTGCCAGCACTGCTACCTTTGACTGCCAAAAAAGGGCCTCCCAAAAGCTGAAGCACTTTATGGTCTCCTGCTTTCTTATTTCAGAAAAGGAAAATATATCAACAAATAAAAAATAAATTTAACACATGGACAATCTCCATCCTAGAATGAAAGCTGATGATCCTGGCTCCTGAAAGAAAGAGAAGCTATTTACCATCTGCTGACCCAAAAGAAGTTGCAAGAGTGAGATAGTAACAGGTACTGGAGGAATACTGAAAGACTCTTCTGGTGCCTTGCTTTTGACAGAGTATCTGTAGGTGAGGACAGAAAGAGAGAGCTAAAACCTGAAATACCTGTAAATAATTGTGAAAGATGCAATGGAAGCATTTCAACTCAGGGAGTTGTGGAAATGCATCTTATATAATGGCAGCTTCTGAATCTTGGCATTGTAAGAACCAGCCCACTTCCTATGCATTTTCTATTGCAGAAATCACCTGTATATTTACACATCAAAAAATAAACCCAAACCCATTCCATCTAATAAACATCCTGAGATTTTTCTCTGGATACTATGCAACATACCTATCTTTGTGAAGCTGGATTCAGAGTACTTGGCATGCTACCATCAAAGCTAGGGGACAGTATTTTGATGGCACATTTTACACAGTTCAAAGCTATACTGGTCATCTTATTACAAAAAGACATTACACATTTTAGACCAGAAGATAATCCAATATACTAAACACACTCTTAACACTCCCCAGTTTACCATGTTGCAGTGACAGCACCAGAGAGCAAGCCTTTGAAGAAAATCTAAAGTAAAATCTAAACAGAACTTGTGTCTTTCCAGAGAAGAATGAAACTAAAACATCGAAAATCTACTCATCCCTTCTGTTCACTGCATACAGACCAAACTGAGGGCAGGGGCATCCTTTGAATCACATAATTACCAGTCATAAGGCACATGCATGGGGAGAACTGCATGACACCTTATCATTGATGCCTGACCTTACAACATTAACAAACTTTCCTTACCATGGCTGGCATTACTTATCACTCTTCTAATGTTTTCCCATTCTAAGTTTCTCTTTGTCGCTAGGAGTGGGAGACATTTATGTCCTGCATTTTATCAAATTGAATCTTGTGTTGTTCTTCTCTGCATATTCTATTAATTTTTTTCTCAATTTGCCATCACTTCACATCTCGTGTCTGAAAATCTAATTAAAGGGTTTTTTAACGACATTAATGATCTGTAACAAGGAAGTAAGCAAATCCAGAGCCAACACTGATCTCGGAATACCAATTTAGATATGCCTTCTACTCTGTATGCTGTCAATTTTGGTCTGTCGTTTGCAGTCCAGGCTCCTCATAACATTGCTCATACCAATTAATAACATGTTATGCTTCAGCAACACAAAAAGGAAAAAAAATTACCTATGCCTTTTTCCTTTACTGTTTTTCCTAATCTTCCCATATACTCTCAACCCCCACACACGTATTGGTAGGGCTTTAAGAACTGATAAACAAAATTTATTACTCAAAAATAGCATTTGTCCATTCTCCTTCCAACTCCCCCACACCTCTCCTTCATCCCATATGTCCTATTTGCTATTTATAAAAAAAAAAAAAAAAAGCAAATATATGAGACTGTATTTGGTCTGTCATGGAAGGTGCAATTAATTTTGAGGCAGATTGATAGAATGAAACACACCAGCATCTCCTATCTTAAAATATATCCCTCTTATAATGAATAATTATCTTGAATTACAGGATTTTATATATTTATTCTATACATTTGTAAATTCTACAAATGCAACTTATGTTCTAATAAGTCTTTGAAATTCCATTTGCCTGTCAGCAAAATGCTTTTCTCTCTAATACATTATAAACCTGAGAGACTAAGCAGAAGTCCAGTGTCCACCTTCTTTTGAAACTTCTTTCCAAGACAGTACAGGTTAGAGACACTTCAAAGGGGGAAATCTTTACATTAAAGAACCTCAATTTATTTCATAATCCCTGCTCTTTTTATCATTCCCTGTCTAATAACCAAGAATAAACTGAAGCATGGATAGGGAGTAACTGACTCAAAATACAAACATATCTATCCCCAAGAAGAGAAGTGAACCTGCTTAACTCACATTCAGACCAGTGTGTTACAGGGTGTTTTTTCTCTTTATTAAAAGAATCCCAAACAAACAAACAAAAAACCCACCCAAACAAAGCTTCTGAAAGTAATTTTGTAATTATTATTTAAATATGAAGTAAAATCAGGTACATCCTTCAGTAGCTGTTCTTATAAACTTGAAGTCTCATTTTTCTCAAGTGTTTTATTTCCATACAGTCTTATTGACAGGAAGTTGCCAATAGTATTGGTTCCAAGGGTGTCCACATAAAACCAAAGTGCAACAAAAATATTTCAATGGGATCAGGACAGGCCATTCCCAGGCACTCTCCTTGGACCTGGGCTTGTTTTGGGGGGTTCTACCAGCCTCACATTTTAGGAATTAGGCAAATTTCTTTCTGGGGTAGGCTAAAAGGTCTTCTGTCCTTCATGATTGAAACAAGACAGACAGTTATGGTGTCAACAGTACTTTGACATTTTTGAGGAAAAAAGATGGGTTTGTACTCATTAGCAATACTCTAAGGGACTGAAAACAGTGACTTCATGCATACAGACATACTTCATGATAGAAATGAACGACCAAAATTATAGAGAAAAAAATTAAAATCAAACCAATACTAACAATGTATTGCTTTTTATTTTGGAACTTGATTATTCTCCTTTGCAAGTGAACAAGTAATTTTCTAGGTGGCTACAAAATTCCCCCTACTATAACAAGTACCAAGTTAGTTAGGCAAGGTAGGTTTTATAGAATGAGGAGTCAAATTAATTTGCTGGTCCATGCCTTTCCTTGCCAGACACAGACACAGAAAGTGTTACAAGACTTCATCTTAATGAGTGTCATGGAGAAGTTGACACTCATAGCAACCTCCCCAATCTGACATATAATACCTTTCTTTGTAAGCCTGTCAACCCTGAATAATTTCACTTCCTCTTTATTATTGCTCCTTTTCTTTGTTGTGTTCAAAGTACACTCAGCAGCATCATGTCTGTTGATCTGGCATCAAGAGATCCCACCCTTTACAAGAAAAAGGTGAAGAAGAGCAGTATGGTGACAGAGGTCACCAAAATAGACTATGAGATTTCAGCATTACATAAAATAGAGATTAGCAGAAGAATTAGTTACTAACTGTAAGCTCTGCTGAGTTATACCCTCAGCTGGGGTAATTTCAGCTGTTCAAACCGTGTCCCTCCCCATTTACTTACACAGATCCATAATGTGGTTTCTGCAAATGGCACAGTTATCAACCACAATGTCCCATGCCCACAGAGCCACGGCGTTCCACTGGAGAGAGGGGGAGAAAAGGAAAACAGTTGTGATTCAATTTACACTGGACAGAAATCCTCACTATTCTTCAAGATGCCATGTGCTTTTTGAAATAGAAAAGCTGGGATATTTAAAAAAAACCCAAATCTTAGAAGTCCAGAGTAATTCCTCATAATGAGTTCAGGTTACTAGGAAGCAGTGGTACATTCCCCTCACAAACCTCCCAGGTACAATGGATCCTTCCCACTTCAAAAAGCAGGTAACTCCCACAGTCTGCCTACCCTTCTTTTTTTTTTTTTTTTTTTTTTTTTGTGAAACAACTGCAAACATCTGGATTTCTAGATTTCTATTCAAGATCCAATGGAATCCAACAATGCAACAATGCATCATGCCAAATCCTAGAAGGAAAGGACAGCCCCTTGGAGAAAGAGCAGTTCAGATGCCATTTTTGTTAAGAGGAATTCCCATTATTTGTGGCAGTTCTTCTAGTAATCACCCTTCAGAGCAGTTGGGGTCAAGAACTAAATCTCTAATGCTACTCTCCACTGACTCCTGAAAAATCTTCCCTACAAAAGGTTAATAAGCAACAACCTATCAGCAAGGCTGGATATAAAAATTTCAAAGTACTACCAAATCAACCTTTCAAAGACTTACTTTATACATATAAAAAAGTAACAGGACTGTCCCAAGCTACTTCAGGAGAAGGTTTTGAGGATTTCAGGGCAAGCTATGCAGGAAAATATAGTACCTTTTTATTCTTCCAGACAAAACCCATAATGAGGTCTTCTGTAAACTCATTAAATAAATGAACCTGCCTTCAACATCCAAAGCAATCCATTGGTAATCAGGATAATCTTCATTTACTACTTAAGTAGTATAGATTTTTTCCCCTTTACATTTTCTCAGTATATATTTGCACTGACTATACTATAGTAAATCTTCTCTACTCTGCTCCATTTCCATCTTAATGTTTTCATTGCTTTCCCTCAGTTTGGGACACTAAAGAAGGACCACTGAGTTCCAAGTATTGATATAAAAAGTAGTCACAACACTACCAGATCTTTTAGGACATACACCAGTAGTGATCTCATTTTTCTTCCCAGAATTCTAACTTCCAGTCTAGCTGGCCTTCTGGCTTCCCATTCATCTCTCATGGGCTTCATCCATACTTCAAGGCAGCTGAGATAAAAGTTCTCAGCACCCTTATCCCTTCCATACACTCCAGTACTTAATCTCTTGTCCCATTATGGTCTACTCTGATGGCGCACTCACCTGTACTGAGCCACACATGCAACAAAGGTCTTGGTGCCTGGCCAGGGAGGAGGAATGCCACTGACACATAAATGGTGCCACTTCCTACAATTCTCATTATATTTGTCCCTAATTCCAAAGGACAAGCAATTATGTCACCCAAACACTTCCTTCTGCACAGATCCAGGGTTTCCACCATCACTGATGGCAGCTACATTTCAAACAAACTCATCTACAAGGAGGAATCACTGGAAATGTTTACTGATATTCAGTCTAGGAGTCACTTTTCCCAAATGATACCTTAGTACAAGCCCACACAATCTAGCCCTGCTTCTCTACACCCTGCTCAAGAGCCTCGGACCATCACCGTGACCCAGCTGACAAGCTGGTGGCACTGGACAGGAGAGTGATATTATGGCTGCTCTGAGAGAGGAGGCAAAGCCAGGGTGGCTTTGAGGACATTTGCTCACTCACACGTTTTTATGGCTCGATTTAAATAAGCAGGAGAAAAAACGTCAGCCACCGCCATTTGCAG